ATGGTTGGGGGTTTTTTTGTTTTTTTTTGTTTTTGGTACTGGGAATCCAACTCAGGACCTTGTGCTTGCGAGGCATGTGGTGGCACCACTGAGCTAAAGCCCCGACCCTATTTATTTTTAAACAGAACTGATCCACAGTAGAATTATGTCTCTTTGTGGTATGACTACATAGTCTGTGGGCTGCAGCTGCAAATAAGATATGGTATGGATCCACAGGGTCAAATTTCAGTTCTATAACCTGGGGCAATCATTAAAAGTGTTAGATTGCATTATGAAGGTTGGTCCTAATTTGGCCTGATAGTAGAAAGCACAGGAAAGTAAATTGTGACAGTAATTGTTATAGCAGCTGGGCATAAAGAGATCATGGATCTTCTTTCACAAGAATCATGAAAATTCTTCAGTGCTTTCCACAAAGACTGGGAATCATTTGCATGTGTACGGCAGACATCATTGCATATGAACTCCTTGACCTGCAGATTGGAGTATTCACTAAGAACTACACATCATTCTGAGATGTTTGACCCCCTGCTTCCATTGGATGAGAAATAATCATTCTCCAAAGACACTTCTCCCATCCCTCCCCAATACGCATACTTTCTAAAGAGTCCTTATGTGTACTGTGAAGTTAGATAATCTGTAGTTTGACAGGACGTGAAATAACAGCTGGTCAGCTGTCTACACTAGTCAAATTGGTTTTAGACAAGATTACATTATAACATGGGTTTGTTTGTGAGCATATGATACAGAAATAGCAGAAACCTATAACACTAATGTTTTTTATCTGTATTTTATCAATTTGTGATTCTGTTTGAACAAACTAAATTTTGTGAGCTTAGGGAATAAGGGGACTAGACGTGATGGAAAAGAATGATCATGGTACAATGTTTTATTAAATTTATCCTCAGAAATAAAAGGGCAGGGGCTGCAGGAAATGTGTGAGACTTTAGAAAAATTCTGACTTTATTCTGTTAGTGTCTTTACTCCTCATTTGTTTTTCTTGCAATGACTATCAGTATAATCTTTTATAAGTTAGACATCTTGTGTGTTTATTCTGGGACATAAGCAAGGTAATTCAACAAAATGCATTGTACACCACTGGCAGTATGGGGGAAATAAAAAGGAATGACACAAAATAGAGTAGGTGGTAGTTTTTAAAAGGTGAGAGGAGCCAACTGAGTGCCTGGGAGTTTGGCAAGAAATGGGCCCTAGGCAAAGAAGTGCCCAGGGATTGAGCCCTATTAAGCATTCTATAAAAATTCTTGGACAACACAGAAAAATGAACTAGATAATAAATACCCTCAAAAATTTCTTTCAAATCTAGTATTTTCTAGTTCATCCTAGTTCATTGTGATTAGTAGAAACTGATAAGAATTTCTTCCATCAGAGACTTAAAGATAAATTCTGTAGTTTGGTTAAGAATTATAATTTGGTAATTGCTAATATTTTATGTAGATCATTATAATTTTACCAACAATTCCTGGAATTAAAGTAGTAGTTTTCTTTGTAGGGTTTAAATAATGTTAATGTAGCTATTTCAATTAAAATAATATTTGTCATGGACCACATATATATAACACAGAAAAGATCCTATGTGAGTCTCTTTACTGTTGTTGGTTTATTTGGTGCTGTCTTAGGGTGATGTAGGATTTTGCTATCTCTGTAGCCCTTGCTCTTGAACTATAAATATTTGCAGACTCTTCTGTCCTGGGTAATGTAAAATGTGGATTTGTGTTTAAATTAATCAGCTGAGTAAGATGTCTTTTCCTCTTTGATATTAAATCTTTTCTCACAAATCAAGGGTGAGATATTGTGCTAAATTACCAAGATTATTACATATCTGGATCTTGGAGGTGAATATACAGAAAGTACTTGAAATCTCAGTTTTATTCAGTATCAGAAAGATCTGTACATTATTGTGAAGAATAAAATACTTAAGTCCCCTACATTATGATATGGGACCAAGTAAAGAGCAAACAATATTATAGTCAGACATCGATGACTGCATACCTTTAATTTCACAGATTCTTCTCCTGAATTCCTTCAGCTTTTACAAAAAGTTACATACAGCAATGAAAAGATTCAATGAGGAAAGTAGGATATATCCTTGCATCAGGGTAAATTCTAGCTAGTAAACCGTCTAGCTAGTAAAGATCAATCTCTTCTTGTTATACATCAATAATTTAAGAAATTAAAAATGGAAATTCAATCTTATAACAGTAGTAGTTAATATTTATTGAGTCTGCCATGTCCATTCAGTTCCAGCACTCAGGTTGTGCTTTAGATAGCTTACCTAGTTCACCCTGAGAGGAAACGGAAGTGGTGGTAGCCTGGGTAAAAGCAGGAAGTAAGAGAGCAGGGTCATGCCTCAGACAGTACAGTCTCTGTCTCTGTCTCTCTCTCTCTCCCTCTCTCTCTCTCCCTCTCTCTCTCTCTCTCTCTCGCTCTCTCTGTACAGATTAATTGAACATCTACTATGTGTTAGATAGGTTGCAGAATTTTCTACATATATGATCTTATTTAATATTTTTAGCAGCCCCATAATTTAGGTCTATTATTAGCCTCCTTTTATTGGTCATAGCTCTGAAGCACTGTAAGATCCTCAGTCAACTACTTAATAAGGCAGGAAAATGGATTAATATATTCTATAAAATTATCACATGCAAGACAAAATAAGAAAGACTTTTATGATTAATAATCATTAATCAGAACCTCCTAATCCCTGAGCATTCCTTATAATCAGGACCTTACCCATCCTACAGTATAGTACTCAAATGATGGAGGTACATTTAAAATCCAATTATTTTAAGTATTATTGTTACAATCAGCATCAGAACTTTTCAGTGATGGCATTAATTCTTGATTATCAACTGCCAAGTCTTTATTCTAATTACATGGGTTAATGTAATGAGTCATCGACTCCTGCTTATTGAGGATTAATTCATTGATTCAGTGTTCACTATGTGCATGGTGCTAGACACAAGGGATATAGTTGTGGGGGAGTTAAAGGGAGGAAGAAATATCTTCCTTAGAAAAATTTACAAGCTTGCAGAGAAAAGTTTGTTTTAATTCACTAAGAATAATATAATTATCATAAACATGTATTTGTTAATCTTTGAACTAACCCTATATGCAGTTTTATCACTCTTATTTAAACATTATGAAACTAAGACTAAGATTACATGACTTGACAAAAACTATCTAGCTAGTAAAGAATACCGGTGTTTTAAAACTGTCAGACTCTTTCCACTGTACTACTCTATCTTCAAGGAACTTTTGATCGATATGATATTGCAGAAATAAATGCCAAGGGAAGTTTTGGAACAGTACACTAAACATATTTGGCTCTGGGATTACTCAGGTGCAACAAACACTTTTATTTGTAAATAATATAAAAATCTAATCTTCTTTGAAAATAGTATCTTGTCATGACATCAATATTTTCTAATACTCAGCTATTGGTATTTGTTTCTTTAGTACTAGTCATGTTAGAGATTTAACAGGACGCAGTTATGATACAGTGAATAGTTGACTTAAGATACAGTATCAAGTTTTATTCTTTCCTTTAATCACATGATAGAAAGAATGGATGTTTAAGTCCCAAAGGACATTTAATGGATGTGTTCAAAGTGGAGTGTGATTGCTGAAGAAACTGTACTTTTTATGTGGGCTGAAAACATTAGCTAGTGAATACTCTTTATTAAAAAACAATAGTGCGGGCTGGGGATTTAGCTCGGTGGTTCTGCTGCCTGCCTTGCAAGTGTAAGGACCCGAGTTTGATCCCCAGTACCAAAAACAAAACAAAACAAAAAAAACAATAATGTGAAGTCATTTTGTTAAAACCTTAGCATTCATTTTACTGAAATTTGGTTGACATTTTACTAACTGGATTCAAAGCTTTTATTGATATTTTGATACATTACCTTAAGAATTGTACAGCTAATGGCCACAGAAAAATGGGGGTTAAAGAATGAACCATGTCAGGCTAACCCGATTTCCCTTTTGACATTATAGAACTAGTGGATAAAAAGACTTAAAGAGATGTCTTTACTTGGGGCTTTTTTAAAAAAGCTTTTTATTCCACATTTCGTGAACTCTTAATTGGAACACTTGAAATTTCAGGTGCTACTGCCACAAGAAACTATCTCTACTCACCCTTGACTGAACTGTATAAGATTTGGAGAGTAGAAAATGCCTTTTGCCATTTTATATTGTGTCACACTGCCTAGTAAAGTGACCGTGCTATTAACAGCATTTGAAGAAGTCAGATTAATACCACTCAAACCTGGGTCTTAACTTCCCATCACTCTAGTGACTAAATAAACAACTTAAGATATATCTATATCTTTGTTTTCTTTTTTCATTTGCCATCCAGTTGCGGTTTCTCCTTTTTTTAGAAAACTCTATGTTTTCTTTCATTGGATGTGACTTTGATACCAAGATCAGTCTAATTGTATCTGCATCAGTTCAACAAACTTTGTGATGAGATCATGGAAAAATGCCAGGAGATAATCCAAGGAATACAATGCCAAGCTTTTTAAAAGGAAGAAAATAGCTAGTTCCACTGACACCTTAAAGAAGGTCTTCTTTGTTTTTCTTTTCTTTTTTAAAAACCTGGCTCTGTTGCTCAGGCTAGCCTTTGACTCCGAGGCTCAAACAATGCTCCTGCATCAGCCTCTCAATGTGCTACTGTGCCCAGCTGGTCCTTTCTTTTTAAAGGAAGAAGTAGAAAAACAACTGCTAGATTGTGGTCAAAAATGTTAAGTTTCCACAGTAACAGGAAGCCTCTAACGAATGAAAGAACCACCCTCTTATATTTTAATTCTATTCTTCTAAACAAGATCTGTAAAAATTGCAGAGGGCAACTGTCTTTAAGGAATTCGCCTGTTACACCTAGGCTCCGAAAACCTAAATGGTTTTCCACTAGTGGCTCATGTAAGAAATCTGGAGACGGTCCCAGTCCTTAATGGAGTCTGGACTTTGGATTTGTTTTTCTTCTTTAGGATTGAACCATCTGCCCTTTGACCCTGCCAACAACAACGAGCCCCTGCAGTTTGGTAGTGCCAGTGGTCCTCTGGTCACAGAAGGCCTCACTGAGAATGGAGGGGACTCAAGCAAGAAAAGAAAGAGAACAAATACTCCTTCAGGTAAGCTAGGAGATAACAATCTGTCTTAAGTCAGTGCTATTGAGTCAACATTTTCCCAGAGCCTAGTATATGGTGTATACTGGGCTAGGACTTGTAGAAACTAAAGAAGTGAAAGTTCCCTGTCTTCATGATAGAATGAAAAGAGGGAAGCATATATAGGAACATTCTAATAATAGGGTAGAATATTGTCAGTGCTGTGGTAAATATGTGTAAGGGGCAAAAAACTTCTAGGAGCAAAAATAAGTACAATTTGATTTAGGTTTAGGCATTGTGAAGTGCTTCATGGCTGGAGTGACATTTTAAAATGATCTTTGAAGAATAGGTAGATTTGAGACAAGAGATGAATAAAGAGCATCAATTTAGGTAGAAGGTATTGCATGAGTGACTATTCCACTGTGCATTTGTCTTTGTATATACATATGGCAGGCTACCCTCAATTTACTTCTAACAGTTATCTGCTGCATACATTTCTGCCTCCACCTCTGCCCCTCCAAATGCATACCATGCCTACATGTATTTTATGCTCTTATAATTCTCTTAGCACAGCTGGCAAACAGATTCTCCTAAATTCTCTATAACAGCCAACTGAATTTTTACCATCCTTTGCAATCCTCCCCCCAGCCCATATGTTCCATTGACCTATTCGCATCTTAAATTTCTCCAGAAGGAATAAGAAAACAATAGAACCCTATAATAACTGATCTTTTGATATTTTAAAATGCCATCTTTTAGTTTCTTGGTTACTCATTTGGAAATAGAATCTCTGATATATAGAGACTGATGTGAGATTTTCAGATGGGCCCAATAGATGGTTCATTTTTGTTTTTACTAAACAAAAACTTTACTTTACTTTAAACTCATAAAATGGAGGGAGTTTATAACATATCTTTTTCTTAGATCAGAGTTCTTCTCTTTCTTCTCATAAATCAAGATGTTTGTTAAATATGAGTCTGGAAAATAAAAATACAGTAAACATTAGCTATGTGACATGGAGCCCTCAAAAAAGGAGCTGTATTTTCTGGAGTCCGAAAAGACATGATGGATAGCCAAGGAACTGCCCTGAGTTCTAACCCTGACTCTCTCTCTGTGGCCTGGAGTTAGTTGCTTAACTTCTCTGAGCTTCTCTTTCTTTGACTGTAAAATGGAAGTGATAATGAAACCTACCTCTTAAGATTGTTCAGAGAATTAGTTGAAATGATGTGGTTAAAGTATTTAGCATGGTATCTATACATAGTTACCACTTAGTAAATGTTGCTATTATTTTATTATCATAATTATTATATGATACTATTATAAACCTTGTCTTTCTAAGCATCAACATATTTCACATTTTTTGGTTAGCTATTATGGGTGTGTGTGTGTGTGTGTGTGTGTGTAAACTTATCTTCTTTTGTAAGAGATATATTCAATATAATTATCTCTGTTTGATCTTTAGGGGCATAATTCCAGTCATTAGTTATTGTACTGCATTCTAATACCCTATTACAGCTTTCATGGTTTACTAGGGAATATAAGCTTTTTACCTCTACACTAAATTATCCTAGACTGTGGTAGTTTTGTAGTTATTACAGTTGCATTTTATACAAGTCCTGTTTCCTGTATGCAGTCTCTTCTTACTCTTCTCAGTGTACTTCCAATGTGAACTTTATTAATAAAAAAACCAACCTCTCCACCTCTTTCAGTTGATTTGTCAGATTAGTACTATGTTAAGAGCTAAGCCAGTTGTCTGTAGAATCTGCCATGGATAGGGTGTGTGGGATTTATCACATCAACTTTAAAACATCTATTTTGGCTGCTCTAAGGCCTTTTTTGGTCACTTATTAGTTTTTGTCTGTATTCATAAATAATGCACTAGTTTAGGGTAATACTTCCTGAAATGTAGTTAACTCATGAGAGTGGGGAAAAGGGTATGCATTATCTGAATTATGAACTAACTTTAAGGAATTGACATTTTATTTCTAATGAGCATATTCAATGAGAGCAAAGTTAACTGTTGCAGATACAGGATTTTAACAGCAGATTACACTAATCTATAATTAGCAGAATCAATTTACATTCTAATAATGAATATGCTGAAATTCTTTTAAAACTTTATGTTCTTTAAAATAGGTGAAATAAGACCCTGGAAGGCTAAATTAACTCTCTTGAAATCTCATTCACACTGTTTGCTTAGTGAACCCTTTCTTTGTGAGCAGCACAAAGGTAACTCCAGCCCAAGTTAAATTACCACAAATTCCAAATTAGTGTAGTCCAAATTAATGAGGCTTTGCTATACAGTGAGTCTCTTGTCATTGTTCTGCTGGCATTCTTGTGATGTTATAAATGGGCAGCTTGCTTTGTAATATTATTTTCTTCCTCTGCAGTGTTAGACAAAAGAAAGAGGCAAGGTGTTTTGTGAGTAGGAACTGCTCTCTTTGTCACCATATCCTGCATCATGCAAAGAGGAAGCTAGGGCTGGAAGCTCTTACAGGAGCTAACAGCCTTTTCCTTTCTAAGCTGAGATACTATGGAGCCATTGAATCTCTTGAATCTGTAACCCTATGGAATCAAAGCCATCTGTCTCCTTCTCTTTCATTGAAAATAAATTGATGCTGAAGATTAACTGAAGCTCCAGTTCCTCATTGGATGTTCTTACTTCTCTTCCCATCCCTCCTACACTGCCCTTTTTCTACAAACTTCCTCCTCCTTTTGTACTAAAGCTGTTTTGTTTTTGTTTTGTTTTGTTTTTCAGTACTGGGAACTGAACCAAGGACCTTTTGCACTGAGCTACATCCCCAACCCTTTTTGTTTATTTTGAAATAAGATTTTGTTATGTCACTAAGTTGCCGAGATTGAACTCAAATTTGTGATCCTCCTGCCTTAGCTTCCCACAGTGTTGGGATTACAGGCTTAAAGCTTCTTTCTTAAGGTTCACCAGTGACCTCTGCTGTGGTTTGAATGTGGTCTGTCCCCCAAAGGTTCACATTCTAGAAGATTGCTCCCAAGTGTTGGCAGAATTGAGGTGATGGAACCTTTAAGAAATGGTGACTGATGGAAGGTAATTAGGTCATGGGGGCTCCACACTCATGAATGGATTAATATTGATCTCTCTGAGTCCTTAGATCTCTCAGAACTGGATTAGTTCTGGAAAGCAGGTTGTTACAAAAGAGAGACCCTGACCCTTCCTCATTCTCTTGTTTCCTTGTTTGTATACATGCTTCTTTGCAGATGGCAGCTTTGTTTTCCATTTCTCTGCCATGTTGCAGTCCAGCCGAATGGAGGCACCATGCTGTTTGCATTTTCTAGCCATTAAAATTATGACCCAAATAAACCTCTTTTCTTTAGAAAGATATAAATCTCAGGTTATGTTATTGCAACAGAAAATGGACTAAGAACCTCCATATTGCCAAATTCAGTGGCCTTTGGGACTTCTCAACCATCTTGACCTCTTTCTTTTATTTGATGCTGTTTAACAACTTCTCCTTCCTTGAATTCTCTACTTTCACCTCTGGCAATATGGTTTGCAGGTTTTTAATTTTCTGTCTTCTTTAAACATTCTTTCTCCTTTTCTTCCTCCCTTCACTGTATTAATACCTATATTTATAGATTAAGAAATAACAGTTAAATAAACTTATCCAAGGTTAACTATCTAGCAAGTTCCAACTATCTAGCCAAGGTTCCAACTTCAAACCTTATTCCTAAGTACTATGCCATAGTACTATGTCTGCTGATAGTAGGAATTTAGCCCCATTACTAAAGTATATATTAAATACCGGTAGCAGAATAAGGAAATTTGTGTATGTATGGACATAAATAGATTACAATAAGAGGAGCAGAGCTTGGATTTGATAATCCCTATGGATCTCTTCAAACTTTGAGATGCCATAGTTTCTTCTTTTCACCTTTCCTTTCTTTATCTGCTACTGCCCAAAACAAGTGTTCAGTTTCAGCTAAGCCAGTCAGCTACCTTTCCCCAAAGCTACTGTGTTCACCTATCTCAGTACCTTTCTCATGCCATTCATTTTACTTTCACCCACCAAAATCTTATCCAACAGACCATGTCTAGCAAAAGCCCCATCTTCTCCAAGAAGCCTCTGGATAATCTTATTTAGAAGTGTTCTCTTATACCTCTGAAATCCCTTGGTCACTATATTCATGTGAATCACTTGAAACTGATTATGAACCACGTGGAACTTTTGTTTATCCATATTGGTTACACGTATATGTCTTCTTAGTCTTTCACCTCAGTCATCACCCATTATTGGAAGCATCCCTGATTCACACGTCTTTTAATAGGGATACAGTATCTTACCTACAGTAGATGCTCAAGAAATATTTATCAATTAATAACATATTTAGTTGAAGAATTTCCGTTTGCCCTTATAGTCTATTAATTTCTTTTCACTTCTAAGGTAGAATTTTGTGCAAAAGTTGGCACCTAATATCTGATATTGATTAGCTGATATTGATTAACTAAAGGGCAAACTCAGACATTTGTGAAATTACGTCCATAGAGCAGCCACAAAACAACTCCTGCCAAAAGATTACCTGGTCTTAATGGCATCCTTGGCTATTACCATATAACATTTCGTAAATGCCCAAGGGAAACTAGTGAGTAGCCTGGGTGTTCTGCCTCTAGCTGAGGTAGGTCTAAATAATCAGGATTAGATAAGTAATCAGGCCACAAACTTCTATAAGGATCTAGCAGCTTTGTAGCTTTTATCTTAAGATGACCTCAGAATTTTTCAGAGTATTTTTGCTCTGACATTTCAACTTTTACTCTTGGAAATATTTCATCAGTGCAGCTACAGATGCACAAATTCCCTAAGATATCAGTAACTGCATTTATTCATGTGGTAGTCTATGGCAAAAGAATACAAGATTGTTAGCTTCATGTAAAATCACAATGCCAGGTTCCTCTCCCAAAGATGCTATCTGCCTCCTGGTTTGAGAGCCAGCTAGATTTGCAGAAGCAGAGATACCAACTACTAAAGTGGAAGAATCCATGTGTCAATAAAGTC